GTTTAGGGTTCAGGGTTGAAGGTGTAGGGACGATAGCAGGATTGTTGAGCTTTAGTGAAGGATCAACCGACCATGACCGCTACCAGTGAAGGAGGAGGAAGAATGAGTTGTTGTGGTCGAATATGGTAGAAAGATGAGCAGTATGGAAGCTTCTCAAAAATGCTTATGATTTTTAATCAGGAACCCCAAGCCCTCTTTTAATTCCTGTATATGTATAGTCCCCCTTAAGTAGATAGAATATGGGGCATCTGCGGATCTTATACCCCAAGCCATATTCTATCTGCGTACGGGGGACTATAGCCCTATTTTGAGAAATCCTCACGGCAATGTTTCTTGTAACAGTCTTGAAAATGCTAGCAATCTCTGGAATCCTGCATACCAGAAGTGCCACTCTTACATAGAGACCTTGCACCTTTATGCCCCTAAATAAGGCCTTACTTACCCGTAGAATTTGACGAGGCAATGAAAAGACATGTTCATCGTCCTTTGCTCTGCGCTAGCAATTTGTAGCGTTAGCTGATAGAAGCGACACCCAAGGCCACTTTTTAAGAACTATGTAGGATATCTGATGTTTATTTTGGACTGGGGTCTATTTTTCGGACTATCCAATTGTTGCACATACTCATCTCCTTCGATGCAAAAGGTGTTGTAGGGTAATGCAGAAGCTAGAGTGGTGGATGCTAGTAAGTATGTTCAGTTTCCGCGTTGTAGTACATGCCCGGCAGATCAAGTGATGCTGAATATTCTGGCCCAACGACAGCATGTGCACATGTTGCATTTTCTAGTCGTACGAGGGTGTAGCTATAATTCTAATCTCGACCACGTCACAAATCCCTGCATAGCTCAAAACCTAGCTGAGTAGTATTTTATTTGGGGATACTGTGGTACCCAAGATAAAGTAAGATTATATCCCCCTTTTGGGGTAGTATTTTATATAAGGAATATAATCTTACCAGGTTTAACCACCAAAAAAATCTCTACTCAGCTAGTAGAATGGAGGGAACAACCCAAATCACATCCAGGTATTATCCTATGGTGCCTTATAATTCTCTTGTAGACAACACAGCCTTTGTTTTTTGTCCGTAATCTACCTTACTAGCTCACAAAGTATACCTGCAGCCCCCAACCCCAGCCTGACACTCGAAATTTGAACCCTAAACCTAAACCCTAAACCCTCAGCCCTAAACATTAACCCTAGACCCTAAACCTTAAACCCCAAACCTGAAACCTCAAAGCCCCTCAGCCGCACTTAAACCTAAACCGTAAACCTTAAACCCCAAACCCTAAACCTTAAACCCTAACCCCCAAACCCCAAACCTTAAACATTAAACCCCAAAACCCTGAACCCTATACCCTAAACCTTAAACCTTAAACCCCAAACCCTTTGAGCCAAGGTTACTGGCTCAACATGCTGAGACTCTCGGATGCAGGGCTTGGCCGGGACCAGGTTTCGGGTTTGGGGTTGAACGGTTGAACGGTTGAAGGGTTTAAGGGTTTAAGGGTTGAAGGTTTAGGGTGGAGGGTTTAGGGTTTACGGTTTAAGGGTTGAGGGTTTAGGGTTGAGGGTTTAAGGATTTAAGGGTTGAGAACTTCCATTAGCCATTGTGGTAACTGCTACCGTAAGGGGGAGTGACAACATGGCCCCCCAAAAAACAAAACATTATAACCTTCAAGTCATCCCTAAACTCTAAAATCCTAAACCCTAAATCCTAAACCCTAAGCCCGAAACCTAAATCCTAAACCTTAAACCCTAAATCCTGAACCCTAAACCCTAAACCCTACATCCTATACCCTAAGCCCTAAGCGCTAAGCCAGAAGCCCTAAGCTCGACGAGGATACCTGGCAGAGCGGGACGTGGACTTCGCATACTGGCCATTAAATGGCAAGAAGTATTCAGACCCTTTCCTGCATTGCTGAGGTAAGTCTGGCCTCAAGGAATTAGCACATTGTACTGTTGAGGCAAGTCTAGGCTTTAGGACTTTCTGTAAAGCCTGGATTATTAATAAGGCTGTTCCGTTATCATCCTTATGTGAGGATACTAGACACATAAAATACCCCCAAGTCCTGTTCTGATTACTCCGTGCCCTACATTGCAAGATTCCTTAAACCCCTATATAAACCCAGTTTCTACTGCACGTCCATTTTCTTTTCCATTTAGTTCTCCACTACTCTATCCATTTTGCCGAAGCCTAAAACGCTGAATCCTGAACCCTAAACCCCGAACCAAAGCCCTAAACCCCACGTTGTGCATCCCTGGACTGCATCTTAGCCCTGCAACATGTTTGCAGAAGCATGTTTTTGAGTTCCCAGCCCAATGAAGTAACATTCCCTTGTCCCATAACAAACTCGCCACCCCCTCAGTACTGGTTGAGAAGTCCTCCTACCCTAGTGTTTCTGAGGATCCCCATCGTCAAGATCTTTAGTCCTGCCCTGATACGGAATTCCCCGCGCCATCAATCACAAGTATTCGCAGTGTTATATAAACCAATTTTTAGGATTTAGGGTTTAGGTTCCAGGGTTTAGGGTTGTATTCTCAGTGTGATCAACAGATTCTGTAGCGATATTCATGGTCAGAAGGCGGCGAGGCTTATTCTAATCCCGTTGACGTTCACCCTCCTGGCCGCTCAAGTGAACTCTAGCTCGAGCAGTGGCGGCCCGTACTGGCGAGGATGCCGGGGCAGCACAAACTGCGTTGATGCAAGAGCTGTCTGTGGTGTGCGGAGTTGGAGGGCGCGAGCAGCCCTCCGG